TAGTTAGCAGGATAAGGCTAACCTTGTCTAGGGTTTGTGTGGTGAGAACATAAAGTGGAGGAGCAACTAGTTTAATTTTCACAGGGCAGTCTGCATTTCCAGCAGCCTCAGCTTTCCGCATTGCATCCTGCAAAGTCAAAGGGTAGTTTTTGTAATATAGAATAGCATCATGAAATTACAAATTCTACTCACAGTAAACATGGTCAAGTGCTCGAACACTGTCCACAGGAAAAGAAGGCAAAGCTAAGAACGCGAATTGGACCTTAATGTGGAGAACGCCATCAAACTGGAAACATTTCATCTCAATATCAGCCCTTATCTTCAGTGGCTGTGGGGTCATTCTTCTCCTGATATTCCTAATCAAAGCTTCTTTGATTTCCTCTGACACAGCAGGCACTACCTTGGTTACCTGCACCGTGAATGAAATCTCTGAAATCAACAGAAAGAATGTGTCAAAGACTTCACCAAACAATGGTTACCTCCTGTCCATCAGGGCCAGTTTCTTTGACTTCACGAGTGAGGGGATCCAAAACTGAATCAGGGTCATTCACCATGATTTTGAATGCCTGCATGTCAATTCATTGAGTAGTGCATAACAGGTCAAAAAGGAAAAATCTCCAAAATGAAGAGCTCCAAATTCTCACCTCAAAAGCATGTCCATATTTCCTGTACAGAGGCCAGCCAATATTCACATACAGTTCCTGCAATATGTACAGGTTTTAGTTTGGCAAACGCTATTTGAAAGCATTCATATTCTTGAACATGACAACACTGTTATCTCAGGCCATGACAAACTCAAAGGAACTCTGGAAAAGAGGCATGTTAATGAACAATAACAAAACATTACAGGAGCATCTGAATAGGATATGCTCAAATCAAACTGAGAGCTTCAAATGCTTTTACATGTCCACAGCCATGATCCTAATGGTTCAATTACGTTCAACCACCAATAAATTTCCCTCATGTAAGATCAACCAGAAGCAACCTTGTACTACAGCCAATGTGCAAACGCGTTTGCTGGTTTCTTAAAAAGTAACACATCAAAACACTTCGTGGTCTTAAGACAACAAAACACAAACAGAAACAAGAAACCATCATACAAAGACATACATTAATCTTATTCCACATAAGATTCAATTAAAAAAAATAAAACCCCGTTCAATTTCTTTACACAATACAGAATTATTATATGAAAAAAAAGCACAAATATAGCATAAAAATCCCTTAATTTCAATAAACAGAAACTAACAATCCAAAATTTCAAAAAATTAACCTCCAATTACATCGGGAAATAAAACCAAATCCGGACAGATACCGAACATTATATACATAAACCCTCATATGAGCGCATTATACTAACTGACTGCCAAGAATTTCACTCAACTGAACTCAAAATAACACAAAAGGCCACACAATTAACCATCAAAACCCTAAAACTAAAAAAAATACCTCCAAATCAATACCCAGAGTTTCAGCGACATGTCTCATGATAGAGTGAACAAGCTTGCTCTTATTATACCTCTCTTCACAAGCCTGAATATCTTCCTCACTGACCCTTCTCTTGCTCAAATCAATATACCCCTTCTCTTTATCAACACGCAAGACCATGACAGGCTCGATGCGGCCAACCTTAATCAAACTACTAACACTCCGAATCCGACGGCGAGACAGCTCCGAAAACAAGATCATACCCTCGATGTTGTTGTACTCGAGTAAAGACACATAGGCACCCATATCGGCGATGTTTTTCACTTGAATCATAACTGCCATGTCCACCTCTGGGTATCGCGATTCGTACATGCGACACTCCAGATTTGGTGAGTGCGTCGCCATGATTGCTTGATTGATCCAATTGGGGATTTTGTGTGTGTGGAGATTTTTCTTGCAGTCTCTGTCCCTGTGTGTGTGATTGGCTAAAGAGAAGATGGCGTTAGGGTTTGGAGCAGGGGTAGCAGCAGCTGAAGACGGTATTTTCAGGGGTAAAGAGCGGTTTTTTTGTAATTTACAACTCAGATATTTTGCTTGCGTTTTTTCCCCCGAATTGATTGCTGATTTGCTAATAGTAATTAACTACGTGTCTACGTCGGCGGTGCAAAGGTAGCTTGTACTTGACCACGTTACTTTGTTTTTTTCTGGGGCTAATAGTACTTAACTTAAAATTCATCACGATGCACGGAACAAGGCGCCTCTCTATGTATCGAAAAGATCCCTCAGCTGTTTCATTACCTCCTCCGTAGGGACCAAATTCTGGTACATCGGTAATAGAAAGAGGCCTGCAAATACATCGGGGATGTCGTCTTGGGAAACTGTGCCCATACGATATCAACCCCCTGCCCTTTCCCCAAACCATGGAGCTCATGGCATTCATCGGGCTGTTAAAAAAACCGGCTACTAAAAAATATTTGCTTTACTTACCAACATAATTATTAAAATAAAATAATATGAATATTATATATGATTAAAAAAAATTAAAAAAATTAATGATCTGATAACAGGTTGATGTGTTTTTAAATTTGATCAGCTCGACATAAATTGAATATTTTTTTATTTTTTATTTAGTAATTTATAAAATGAATATTTATTTTTATTTTTTATAAATTTTGAATTTCTAATTTTATTTTTTACTGGACTTTTCATTAAATTTATTTAATGTAAAAAAAATATTTATCACATTGCTTGAGAGAAGGAAATAATAAATTCAAGATATAAAAATTAAAACTATGGCATCACACTTATAATTTATATTACAGACCCACCTTTAAATATGAACTCATAAATATCAATAAAAATAAAAATAGTATAATTTATAGTTTGTCACCTGATCCAACCACCTAGTTCAGCGTATCTAAGATGCAGAAGATTATAGTTTGTCACCTGATCCAACCACCTATAATCTCAATCATAGATCAGCATCATCCCCGCGCCGTTACTGTATGATAAATTCCAATGGGTAAGCATTCATGCTGTTATCTTTATACCTGGTCTTCCCTTGTTTTTATAATGTACAATACATATTCTTATTTGATGAATTTTTTACAAAGTGGTGATGAACAAATCTCTCCATTTTTAACTTGACCTCAGTCATTTATTCACATAGCTATTTGTTATATTCCTTATATTTCTCTGAAAATTATTTTATTTCGAAAGAAATTATTTTTAACCTCTTTTAAATATTAAATATTAATCTATAATTCTGTTTTTAGAGATATTTAACATATAAATAAGAAAAAAAAAATGGAATCTTTGTCTAAAAAATATATATTGAAAAGGGGGCAAATAGACCGAACATTCCAATGAGATAATGTTTTCTCAGCTCTCTATGAAATGTAATCTTGGGGATAGATCGTTGTTTTCGAGTTCTAATGGCCGCATTTCTTTCTCTGCAAGCAAAGTTGGATCCCTCGGGCTGCAACCAGGACTGGGATCTTCTCTTAATCTTTTTATCTATTTTGTATTTACATAAATCTCACTATATTCATCTCAAAAAATAAAAGAAGAATGAAGTTTCACTGTAACTAGAAACACCCCGTGAAAGAGGAGGTCCTGGGCTGACATCTAGCCATTGATTCCCGATCAGCATATTGCCAAGCCATGTAGAGTAGCTAGTAAACACAAGCTTATTTCGTATCATTATAATTTTCACATAAATTGTATTAAAATTTATTATAGAACTTAACTAGATGATTATAATTGATTTAACTCAACAAAAAAGATATTTTTATTTTATTAATTATAAAATTCTTTTTTTTGGATAATAATACTTAATAATAACCATATAAATTAAATTTGAAAAAATGTATCAATTTAAAATATTTGCTTAGAAAACTCGTACAAATATCTAAAATTTAAGTTAATTTTTTAAATTTACTATTCATGAAATTCTAGATTCAAATTCAATTAAAAAGTTCAATTCTCCATCATTTTAATGTTGAAATATAAAATAAAAAAATAATTTAAAAAATAAAAAATAAAAAATAACAACATAAAAATAACAATAAAATCTGATCAGAAAAAAAAAAGATGAAACCATAAAAAAATAATTTTAAAAACTATTTAAAATTAAACAAATAGTAATTTAAAAAATAGAGATTAAATATGACAAATAAAATAAAAAATTATAATTTTATAAAACATTTTAGATAAAATAAATAATAATTAAAAGAAAAGGAGAGCAAACTCAAAGAAAAAAACAAATTGAAATATTGTATTGAAAATTTAGAAGGCTATTTCATTAGGAAGAGAAAAAAGAATTGATCATCGATTTAAACACAAAAATCTGTCGGCTACACACCTCTCCCGGGAATGGAGAGGCGACCATAACAATTCAAACACTGTTTTAGAAGCCACTGTTTAACAGCCACATTCTCCATCACACGCAGCCCAAAAGACCCAGGTATGTCCCTCATGTCAGCCCATATAATATACACACTAAACACTTGTTTGTTAAATAATATTTTATATTTAATAAAATATCAAATAACTCTTGATTATAAATATAAAAATAATGAAAATACAAAAAACTTGTACACAAGTTTAAAATATTTTGCTTTTAAGAGTAATTAAATTATTTTATTATATTTGAAAAAGTAAAAATACAAAAAACACTTGTAAATATCAATTAAATTTTTTTTTCTTTTCATAATAATTTAGTGACTTAAAATTATTAATCGACTGACAAAATAACTAATGAGTCTTGATAAAGACAAACTATATTACTCTTAATAGGAAGTTAAATATATTTTATTGAAATGACAAAATAGTCATTTTACTATTCCAAACTTCAGTTATTGCTTTTATGTTTTGTTAATAAGCCACGTGTCAATGTTTTAACCCAAATTCAACCATATTTATAGCATGTCACAGATGTTATATATGGTCCAATCATTCCCTTATTCATGCAGCCTCACCTTCCCTCCGATGATATTTCCCGGCAACGAGTTAAAGCCGAGACTATGCCGTTCATAATTACAGCTATCGAGCTGTCCTACTGTTGGAAACCAGAAATTAACCATCAGAGTTGTCATTTTTTAAACACATCAGCTCACACATTTCCAGCACATCCAGATGGCTTACAAGAAAGAAATACAAGATATTTGATCACACAAAGTAGTTTTCAAAAACCTGTATACTTCACTAAAATCTTAACAGTGACGAGATCCCAGATTCCCAGTGAAGTAATGGACATATTGAACATCAACTAAGTGTATCACGTACAAGTTCGAGGGTAACAGCATACACATCTGCATTCCAAAATACACCAAAAAGCGGAGACCAGCGAATACTTACAGGGCCAAACGCCTGACAAAAGAGCACTTTCCAGCTGTAATTCTGATAAAAAGCCACGGTTTTCTTTTTCAGAACTGCAATGGAGTAGCATATTTGATATAAAATGCAAGTCTGCACAAGAGAGAGAGAGCGAGGGGACTAGGTGATGTCAAGAGCAAGAAGAGCTACTCTAATGCTATCCAATCCTTTCATGTACGGCCAAACCTTTTTGTGCCTAGGAACTAGGAAGGTTCAACAATTCCTATTCACACCATGCATGCTAAAAATTGAACCCTCCTAGGCACTGGTACATGCATTAGTTTATTGGCATGGTCTCTTCTTTACATTTATACACATCCAATGCATGTTAATTCCTATACAAAATGAAAGCATGCAACATCAAGACATCTATATATATAGAAATGATAGTTATGCATATCCAGCAAGAATGAAATTTTAGCGAGCAGCCAATCACGAAGGGCAAATTATATCTCTGAATTCCTCCAACCATTATGCAAAATTGCTAGGTTTATCATTGTTCTTGATGATAGTGATAAAAAAAAACAACAGAAAAAATAATGCATTCACTCAAACTGCAAATTTCATTTTTATGTTTTCTGGTAAGAGGTGATAATACATACCTCAGGTTTTCCTTCTCTTAAGCTGTCTCCACTGCTTTAATAAATGCATCACTCCCTCACTCAGTGTTGCCTTCCTTTCCTCTTTGAAATTCCACAGCTCTTTTATTATGTACCTACCACTTGGGTTATACTCGTTCATTTCCTTTAATGCTGTTACCACAGCATTACAAACTTCATCACCAAATTCACTCTTCAAACTTCTCAAATTTTCATCATCTTCGTTGATTATTTCCTACCAAGCCAAATTCACAAACAATTTGATAAGATCACAGCTTGTTTAAGAATTGCAAAATCATAAAATTCACTATTGACCAGTTCCTATGCTTGGAAGGAGAGAATAGCCATGAAATTGAATTCAAAAGTTGAAGTGACTGGTTTCAGCAACTCCACAAATTCACCCATTGAAGCCTGGTTTGTGGAGGACTTGCTGCCTCAATGTTCTATCCTACCATCCTACCAATAAGTTGACATTTTGTATTTTATAATGAAATAAGTAAAACAAAAGACATGACACTTTCGATTTTTAGTTTTACTATACCAGATTATGTTTATTCCAGTCATGAATTAAGTATAGAATTCAGCTCAATTACAATACACTGTGTTTGAATTTCATCGGCACAAAATTTGTTCCAAATAAGGAGAAGGACAAATCAGTGATAAATAGATGAAATAATCCTGAAACATGGATGGACTCTCTAGCAAGTGAGAACAAAAATGGGTGGGGGTGAGGCGGGATAAAAAAATGTTTATTGAAAATTATAATAAAAGAAATGGAAAAGACAAACAATTTGTAAGAGAAAATTGGTAACAAAGTTTGTAGAAAGACTAGCCACCCTTGGCTAGAATAAAGTAACTCTTGCCCGAACCAAATACTCAGATACCAATTAAATGGTCTGTTAGCAAAGAAAAAGGAAGGGAAAAATCAGCTAGCAGTTCTTGCAATCTTCAAGGAGTTACATCCTCATCATATTGACAATTATAAAGTTACGTGTTTGTAGTAACATTGTTGTTCAGGAATGACAAGCTTCAGTTAAGAAAAGTAAAACCAGGAACAAAAGCAGCGTAGTTTCAAGTTCACAAGGGCAGCTACCACGATTTATTCACATTTCAAGGTTTGTGAAACTGTGTTAAGTTCTACCTAGTCAGGCAGGAGTAACAAAAAATATATGTTTATAAGCAGGAAAAGAAACAAGACTGAGAAGGCAATTAGAGTAATCTATTGGCATTTCGTGCTAGTGAGCCTATATAAAATTCTATGTAGGCAGGTCTAAATCTAACACAACATCTGCTTTTATTTATATTATTAAACATTTTGACCATTCTGTTTGAATTGGGCATTGCATACCTTACTATTCCCTTCCTTGTCAAGGATGACCTTGAATGGATGCCAGCTCGGATCTCGAAGACGATCTTCCCATAGTGAACACAACTCAAGTGCTTTCTCATCAGCTTCTTCATCTAAAAATTTTATCTTGCTTGCCTCGTGAAATGGTTTGCTATCAAGATCTCCCATTCTCTTAACACCAATAAAAGCACGGGTTGTCCATTGCCCCAAGTACTGTGGAGTGAGGAAATTAGGCTTTCATCAAATACCAGACATTACAACATGAGTAAGATGAACAGAAATAAAATCACAGAAATTTAACCTCTAAAATAGCTCACTTCAAATACACTTAGTTAATATCTTAAACAGAACACATTCAAAGTTTTATAATGACGAGTAGAATGGTTTATGGTACTTGCACTGATTAACTCCTTGCGAGCGTCCTGCAATTCATCATTAGTTTTGCGCTCCTTGATGACAAGGGCTTGATTAAGTTGCTCCAATCCATCCAGTTCTTCCTCCTTCTCTTTCAATTCTTCTCGAACTGTATCCATTTTTTTCTTGACATCAAGGTCTTCATCCTCTCCCATGTGTTTCATAATTTGTAAAGAATTCCTCATGCACTCTATCTCCAACTCCAGTGCTTGTTTAGCATCAAGTTTCTTTTCCAGATCAAAAATTTTCTTGTGCAGTTTCTCCTTTTCCCTCTGCATTGGCCATTTGCCAAAAAATACTATTATTTCTCCAGCTGGAAATATTTTACTGTTCTATTCAAATATTTTAGTTCAAGGAGATGAATTCATGTACCTTTTGTTCTTCTGCCAACCTCAACACACTTTCATCTGCCCTTTTCTGCTCCAAGGTTGCTCTCTCATTCTGCATGAAGGATAAGACAAGGTTAACATATTATTTTTGAACAATATCTAGGACTACTACCTAAAGTATCCAAATAAACCAAAACCACCACCATTACAACAGCTGATGCAGGACAGTAGTCCATCAACATATAACAACAGAAAAAAGTAAGAGATTGAATTCATAAACTAATGCATTGAGTTACATATGCACCAGTTTCTGGTACCCTTCAACATATCCAAACATTACCGAATGCAACAAGGGCTTTGGGGCATCTGGTTGAAGTTGAATTCAAATCAAATATTCAAGAAGTAATCCAGTAGGGCGCATAGGGAATGCTGGGGTGAACCAGAAAAGTTTGGGTACAACTGGATCTAATTGTTCCCTAGATAAACGCCCTGTAGACAATTCCCAAGGTGGTGGTGAGAGTATGAGCCCCATTGGTAGGGAAAAACCCCACAACCAAAGGTAGACTTGGAGAGATGTTCAAATTGGTAGCTTTGGCTTTTGCCTTCCAAAATTGTAATATCTGCTAAAACTTCACAAACTTCCCTACCTTGATCAATGTTGGATAATTTAAATATGGATTAACAGGCTGAAAAACAAAATTCAATAAAACAAAATTTAATAACTGAAGCTAGATCCTGTCAATTTTAGTCATTTTGCAGAAAGCCCCAGCATGCTAAGAAATTGGCAGCTTTAAGAAAGGCAAGGTATGTTACCATTTTCTTCTCGTGATGAAGTTTCAGTCGATCATTTTCATTCTGCACCTCGCGTCGCTGCAGTTGCTTCTCGCGCTGCTTCAATTCTTCTCTCTGAGCTAGTAGTAGCCGCGTGACCTTCTCATGCTCAACAGAAATCTCCTCAAAATGATCATGTTCATTCTGCTGCATTTTTCTTATTTCTAATCACAAAAATTTCACAAAGAAACAGAGATAAACTTTCTCAGAATATATCACTGGAAATCTGAATAATTTGAAGTAAAATCTCATTTAAGGTTTCTTTAAACCCTTCTGGTAAACCTCCATAACTGAGACGTACCTTCATTATACGACTTCTCCATGGCTTCCTTTTGATCCATCACCTTGTTCAAAGATGCACTAGTCTCTTTATATCTGCTCTCCATTTCTCTAAGGCAGTCATGTTTCCTCTCTAAGGTGCTTTTCAAATTGGAAACAAGTTTGGCATCCTTCCTTTGGTCCTCGGCTTGTTTCCCATCAACACTTTTCAAATCCCCATTCTTTCTGAGATGATCTCCTACAAGACCACTGGCTTTATAGTCATCCTCTTGGGCAATCCATCCATACAACCTCTGTCCTCGATCCCTCACTGGAGTTTCAGTATATTCCTTCTTTCCACAATGATTCGAATCAAAATCCTTCTCAAACATAATGGCATTACTGAAACCATCCCAGTCTTTCTTGAACTCTACAATGGCAAATCCTGAATGACCATATCGGCTCCATAAAGGATGCACCCTAACAGGATTGAAACCTTTTCTAGCTAATTCATCCCTGAGTTTTGAGCCACTTTCCCCAACACGACGTCCATCCTTCATCTCGGTTTGTATATTGGCAAGAACCCCCATCCATGGCCAAACAAGCAGCTTCTCTTTATCATGATCATGTACAACATGGCATTCAGTTTCCGGCCTTTTGGCAGAGGGGACAAAAAGCTGCTCTTTATCATGATCACATGCAGCAAGAGATTCAATTTGGGGCCTTTTGGCAGAGGGGATGAACAACTGCTCTTTATCATGATCATGTTCAGCAAGAGATTCAGTTTTGGGCCTTTTGGCAGAGTGCACAAATAGCTGCTCCTTATTATGGTCATATATGGCAGGAGGTTCAGTTTTGAACCTTTTCGACGAGGACTCTGATCTATCCTTCACATCAAGATGCCCCCGAATATACCTTGCAAGAGCTAGGTGTTGAGCTTCCTCTTTTAGAGTCCCTCTTCTTGATCCTCTACCAAGATCAGAAGCATGCTGGAGAAGCTCCCTGAGATGGTAATCTCTCCCATGACAATAGGGGCATTTGTAAACTGAACCTGAAACTCTGACTCTAATTCTTTCCTTCTTCAAATCGTTATAATGCCTTTCTTCATACTCGTAAAACTCGGACTCTCTTATGTCCCTTTCGTGTGATCTAAGAGACATCACTAACCTGAAATACCACAAAATTACAGGACATCAGGACACCAAAGTTGCAAGAAAATCATCCAATTCCCTATTCTCCTTAGCAATTGACAGTGCACTTCATTTTTAAACATCTACTCAGTCAAAAATTAAAGACAACATTCATGAAACAACAAGAAGCAATTATGGATGTACTTAACTTAGTTATCCATGTAGTTAATTAATTACCAAAAAAACACAGAATGAAAACTAAAATTACAGTATAAATTACGATCTGATTCAATGTCTCGTCTTGTTCCTTTTTTGGCCTAAGCAAGTACACGAATGGAATCCTAGCAACTTTAAATGTCAAAAGATCTGTGAAATAAATAAATTAAAAATCGAGGTTTCAACGATCACAAGAAGACAAATCCATGAAATAAATAATCTAAATTTTGAAATCTTACTTCAGTTAGGTTTCACAACTAACAGCACTTTAAATATAAAATCTAAGAAATAAATTAACTAAAACATTTTTCTTCTTAACTTTCTCTAGTTTCTAACACTAACACATACTCTACACTGCTAATAACCTCATTTCAGCTAACCACGATATTCTCTGCGTTTTCTCAGAAGAAATTCTAAATCCATTTAACACAAAAGAAGCCCTGGTTTCACAATTTCGTTTTTTTTTTTCCCCTTTATTTTCTACACAGCCAACAAGAGGCAAAGAAACGAGTAACTTTTTGTGAATAAAAACAAAGCATTTATGAACAAATACTAAAAAAAAATGCATTTAGACGATGATGCTGATGCTGATTTCACCTGCAATTCCAAGACCCTAGTCGATTTGCTTCATAAGGAAACCCCGCGACATTCAATCAACAACAAAATGGAATACAGGGACGTGAATGAAACGACAACGTCGTGTAGACTGAAATTTGAGAGGGAGACGTTATTTGTTTTTTATTTTTTCTGATGAAGTGTTTTTAGGATGCGTCTGTTCGTTTGAAGGTAATTTTTAAAAAATATTTTTTTATTTTTTTATATTTATATATTATTAAAAAAATTAATTAATAAAAAATATTTTTTAAGCAAAAAAATTTCATTTCGTTTTCAAAAAAATATTTTCTAATTTTTATGAAAAATATTTTTTAAAAATTAAAATAATTAAAAAATATCATATTATTTATTAATTATATTAAATTTCATCTTTAAAATTTTAATTATTATATGTATGTATATATATATATGTATTTTATTTTGAATTTTTATTTTTTAATTTAATTTTTTAAAATTTAATTTTTATATTAATTTTAACCCTTATTTTATAATTGTTTTTTTATTTTTTTATTACTTTTAAATAAATTTTTTTATTCATTAAATTTTGTTTTCATTTTTTTTATTTTTATTGTTATTTATTTTATTTGAATCCATTAAATTTTGTTCTCATTTTTTTTATTGTTATTTATTTTATTTGAAATAATTTATAAAATAATAATAATAATAATTAAATTCTTTATCTTTTAATTTTTTTATTTTTTTAATGTGATTTTTATTATTTTAATTATTATTTATTTTATTTGAGATAATTTATGAAATTATATTTTTTTAATTTTATTTTCATTTAATTTTTTTTAATTTCTAGATTTTATTTCTCATTATTTTAATAAATTTTTTAAAAATAAAATATTAATAAATTATTTTTTAAAATATAATCTGTAAAGTATTTTTTAATTTATTTTTTATTATGTTATTGAATATAAAAAAATAATTTATTTTTATAAAAAAATATTTTAAGTATACAAACATATTTTAATATCCTTTTCATTTCACTGCAAGTCAAAAAGACAGATTACGGAGCAGGGACGTCTTTCGTTTTCAACAACTGAGAGAGTCCTTTTCTATCCGAATCTGGTCTCTTTTTCGTCTGCCTGTCTATTTTTGGAGGGTGCTGTCATCGCGAGTCGAGAAACAATATTACACTCCTGGCTGATTGGTATTATCGTAGTTTATTGAGATATTGAGGGTGAAATTAGTAAAGGAAGAGGGAATAGCTGCAGAAGCCAGTGTGGACAGGGTTTACTGAGAGGGATTTTCTTGAGTGTGATCATGTGGGCCACTAAAGGATGGATTACAACCGTTCCTGCCAGTTGGCAATTGACAGCAAGAAATACTGAGCATCAAATTAAGAGGATGAAATATTTTTATTTTAAAAAAAATTAAAAATATTTTTATTTTCTAAATTTATTTTAACATTAATATATAAAAAAAATTAAAAACACTAAAAAATAAATTTTAACCAAAACCAAGTAAAAAAAATGAAGAGTGTTAGTTCATCACCGCAACGGCTGGTGATTCTACTTGAGAAATCTAACGGCACACTTCATTAGTGCTGTAATGTACTGTTGCAGAGCTTAAAAGGGTGTGCCCTTGTAAGGAAATGGTGTGGAGAAATCATGACCTCGAGATCCCAGGAGTAGATTGGGTAGTTTGGTACGTGGCGATCAAGGCAGAAGGTAGCGAGTAGAGAGTCTAAAATTATATTTGAGGAGTACTGGATTGTTTATTAATTATAGTTTCATACCTCAACTTTTTAATTTTCGTTTAGTAAACTTTCAATTTATCATCTCTTTAAAATGGTTTTTATATTTGTTATTTTTCTCAACGTGGTCACTTTGTCCGACTCCCGAACTCCCTAGCTAATAAAGCATAGACGACACATTTTCTCTATCGATGGCATGACCTGGCAATATGACATGAACCTTCAATTTGTTTATGATATTGTTTTGTTTATTCAATATTAACAAACTCAAAATTAACCGCTGAATTTTCCCTAGAAACCTCACTTCAATTTACTTGGGTACAGCCTGTCTGTGAACTTTTCATGGGGAGGGAGCCCTTATCCTTGATCTCTTTATAGAGAGGAGCCTATCTTTATGGGTTTTTTCAGGACAACGTGTTTCAACTTCATTGTCAAGCTTGTTTGATAACGTAATTATTGTTGTTTTTTAAATAATTTTTTATATTAAAATATATATTAATAATTTTTTTATTTTTAATATTAACATATTAAAATAATTTAAAAATATTAAAAACATATTATTTTGAAGTAAATAAAAAAATAATTGTGATGATACGAGGTCCGGGTGGAGTCAAACCGAGCCTGCAAGCATTGCTCAAAACTATGCTATGTTTTTTTTCATTTTTTTAACCCTATCGTCGATAATATCACGTGTGTATTTTTTTTGGAAAGAAATTCAAGCATCTGATTTAGTTTTGTCCTGTAAAGATATAAAAGACGTGGATTTAGCAAAAGCAGGACCGCCCTCTCAAAAGGTTCGTTGATATGACAAGGAAAAGACTTGTTCAATTTAAAATCCTAATCTTGAGTTTTTTCCGGTGACCACTCACAGAAAAAAAACATACCTAGCTTGACTAGTTCTAATTAGAAATACTGCAGATGAAGGATAATTTTTAATTATGGTTATTTTTTAAATAATTTTTTATATTAAAATATATATTAATAATTATTTTATTTTAATAAAATTATTTTTGATATTAGTATATCAAGATAATATAAAAACACTAAAAATATATTAATTTGAAGTAAATAAAAAATAAAAAATTAATTTTTTAAAAAATATTTTTAAGATCATGTTTGTTTTCCATAAAGTAGTTTTTGGAAAATCATTTTATAAACTTCTTTATGTTTGTTTGCGGTTAAGAAAATTGGTTAACGGAAAACACTTTCTAGTCATAGGAAAATCTAGCTTGATTTTTAGAAAATTATTTTTTTTTACTGTGTTTGTTTTCCAGAAAAATAATTTTTTAAAAATCACTTTCCAAACTTTCTTGTGTTTGTTTGCTGTTGGGAAAGTTGATCAACAAAAAATAATTGTTAGTCAAGAAAAGATTTGGCCTGCTTTTCATAAAAAATTTAAGTGGAAAACACTTTTTACAAGTTGTAAAAAAATTAGAAATGTCATTATTTGTTGATCATATTAAATTTCATCTTTAAATTTTTTATTGCTATATATATTTTGTTTTGAATATTTATTTATCAATTTCATATCTTAAAATTTAATTTACATATTAACTCTGATTCTTATTTTTATAATTATTATTTGTTTTTTTCTTATTATTTTTTAATTAAAATTTTTTATCTATCAAATTCAGTCCTCGTTATTTTGACTATTACTTATTTTATTTAAAATAATTTATAAAATATTGATTATTATTATTTCAAGCTCTTCATATTTTATTTTTTAAATTTTTTAGATTTGATCTCTATTATTTTGATTATTATTTATTTTATTTGAGGTAATTTATGAAATTATATTTTTTCTTAATTTTATTATTATTCAACTATTTAATTTTTCTTATTATTTTAATAAACCTGAAACAAATAAAATATTAATAAGTTATTTTCCAACTCATTTTTCATGATATAATCAAATACTAAAACTTTTTCCAACTTATTTTTTATTATATTTTTAAATATTAAAAAATAATTTACTTTTCTGAAATTTATTTTTCTAAAAATTACTTTTCAAAAAAATTACTTTCTAATAAATAAATAAAAATACATAAATAAATAAGCTAAAATAAAAAACGGGACCAGATTTGTAGCAGTGGAGTAAACATGACTTCAATAAATACCAATACACAAAATCGTATTCTATTCTAATATGTGATGTTGACGTACAATATAAAATTATCATATCAAAATTAAAATAAAACGCACAAAATACATGATAATTTTGTATAAAATTATTACAAGATAAAAAAGAAAAAGAAAAAGAAAAAGAAAGAGCAGATGTGCCATGGAGTAACGGAGAAGCATTAAAAACATGAAGGGTAAATAGACATGTAGAGAAAAACGAGGCAAATCCGATGTCCTAACATGAAGGACCGTAATTAATTTTTATTAAAAAACCTTTCTCTTAAAGGCAAGCCCGCCCAGGGACACATTTTTTTTCACTCCAAACGAGGAGTGTGTGTTTTGGTACGGTGATAAAAATTATATTTTTAAAATATTTTTTATTTAAAAATATATTAAAATAATATATATATATATTTAAATTAATTCTTGATATTAAAACATTAAAATAATTTAAAAATACATAATTTTTTTAAAAAAATACTTTTCAAATAAAAAAACTAAGGGAAACAAGATATCAAGAGTCACACGGCGTTCAAGAGAGAAAATAAAAAATAGAAGGAATGTTTCCTTTATTTATGCTAAAAGATAAACATGCATTGATACTGAGCACAGTATCAACACGTGGAATTCATATTAAAAGAATCCATCCTCACAAGCGCATAAAATGAATGAGGTATATATTTTTAAAATCATCCATGAATGAAACTTCATTTCATAAACTGATCTGAAAAATATTATTAAATAACAAAGAAGGAAAGAGTTTGTGAGTTTTTTCGAACAGGAAGCAGTTGCAAGTCTACGTTGTCGGGCGGGCGGGCGGACACAACGAGAGAAGTTTTTCTTCACAAGAGAAAATTGAAAAGGCGCGGCAACTGCAGACTATGTTTTAAGTAGGAAAAGGAGTTAGACGCCCACCGTGGGGCTCGAACCCACGACCACAAGGTTAAGAGCCTTGCGCTCTACCAACTGAGCTAGACGGGCTTCCCGATCGTATGTAATATAAATTGTTTTTATTCAAGTCTTCAGGGTTTTCTTGGAGTTCTCTAAATTGAATTTGGTCGTGGAAGTTCACGACTGTCGTGAGTCTTCAGGGCTTTCTTGGAGTTCTCCAAATTGAATTTGGTCGTGGAAGTTCACGAAGCTATGAAGACGGTACGATCGAGGAAACGTGTTGATTCGACTAGAAGAAGAAAGCTTGTTGCTTAGACAAGAAGGAAAATGTTAGAGGTGAAAAGGGAACGAGTAAAGGGATGGAATAGTTGATCTTTCACTGGCCGCCATATTCGAGAGAAATTAAAGTGTGGTTGGGATACTATTTGGGCCATCATTACACACATTACTCTTCATTATATATAAGTAAATATTACCATTATCTCGGGGATTATCCAAATAAATATTGTCAATAGCATAATTGCGTTCAACCTTTGCAGGCTAGGCCGTTCCTTCGTGTCATTAAGAAATTGTTGTAAGCTGTAAATACATCAACAACTTAAAACCAATATATTCTGAAAATAATCTAGTCTGTTAAAACAAATTACTATCGAACATGTTAGTTAATTTTCCATCCCTTCATTTTACGAAGTTCGTAAACCATGGCCTCTGTGTTAGATTTGAACTTTAACAAAGCAAATAAAACCCCAAAGGTAGAAACACTTCCTTAAACACCTCATTTAATGCTGGACTCCCCTTCACACTCTGTAGTGATCACTACTCTCTCCATTTTCTCTCTAAAGCTACAAAATTTATAAAAATGGCAAATCTTGCACAGGTAGCAGGAGTAGACACATCAGGCCTTGCAAACATGATCATATCATCAGCAAGAAACGCCACCGCGCACAAGAAAAACTGCGAGCAACTAGCAGAGCACGTGAAGATTATAAGCAACCTGCTAGAGAAGATAAAATCAACGGACCTGGTGAACTTGCCTGCTACAAAAGAGCCATTGGATTGTCTAGAGGAAGCTTTGAGGAAGGCACTTGATTTGGTGGAGAGCTGCAAGGAAAAGAGCTATCTATACATGCTTGCTATGGGATGGAGTGTCGTTTATCAGTTCAGACAAGTTCATGATGAAATTGATAGGTATCTTAGGCTCGTACCCTTGATTTCTCTGGTCCATGAGTTCAGGATGCAGGTAAAGTTAAAAAGATTATTTCCTTCTTCTTTTTTCAAGAGTTAATGGCACCTATTTAAATGACATTCAATCAAGTTTTTTTCCTTTGTTAGAGATCCAATCAAGTTACTTTATACAAACATGAATCTTTTGTTGATTTTTTTTTTTTTATGAATATCTCTTCTTGGATTCGAAAGAGGGTGCAAAAATCCATATATTCTTTTCCCTTGAAAATTTTACCCGAGAATTCGTTATTTTTTCTTCTTCATTTATCTTCTCTGGGCACTAGACACTAGGAGATAAGTGAAAGCAGGATGTTTGACTGTTTTTATCTCCAGTTTCTGAAAAGACATGTTGAAGAAGCAAGAACTGTTTGTTTATTAAAAACAGATCCTAAAGCATGCATTTTGTTGAATTTAGGGTGGGCAAGAAAAAAAAATCCTGCACTTTCTCCGGACGGTTAACTATAATCTGTGCCGTTAATAACAGGTTGGCCCTACGATGTTGGTGGACCCCTGAGATACGAACGACTCTGATTCCATGAATATTCCTGTCTCCAGTGAATAGATTGGCAACAGAAGTGAAAATAATGTCGGTGTGATCGAGAGTAATGGTGCAGGAATTTCTTATTCATGACTAAGAAAGTAGTAATTTGAAAAATAATTAATTGACTTTTGAGCTCACTGCTTTCTCAAAACTAGCCAAGAGAGAGTACTAGTTGCTGCAAAATATATTAGCCTGGACTGCCTCCTTGTATAGTTCAGAACCAAAGCAATGCGAAAAGGCACCGATTCACCATATCATATAAATAGGAATGCATGATGTTTATGTTGCTATAGCAATGTTCACAAGCGACACTCTCGCTTGAGTTCGATAATGTTTTCCTTCTCATGAACCTGCCCTGTAGTAGTTGAAGTTCAAACAAGTTGGTCTTGAAATTATAGATATGTGCAGGATGTAAAGGAAGGCTGGCAGGCAATTGAAGAGGATCGAAGAGACTATACCCTCGATGAAGACGATGTAGAGGCTCAAAGTGTGATTTTAAAACCTGACCGTTCAAAGAAAGATGCAAACATGTTGGAGAAGTCTCTATCTCGCAGATATCCTGACTTGGGATTCCAGGAGGTTCTCCAAGAAGAAAAAGAGAAATTACAGATTGAGCTGCAGAGATCAAGAACAAGCAAGGAGCCAGATCAATGCCGAGTAATTGAACATCTGATTGAGGTAACAGAAAATGTCGTCAATGATGTTCCTGCAAAGAAGGTTACGAAACTTCTTGTTAATGAGCCAACTTATGTTGTCTCAGGGTATGTGTCCAGACAGTTCTGGTGAAGCTTTTGTGTATTAGTTTTGTGTCAGTACCTTAAGGTATGTATTAATTGGGGATTTATGATTCTAGGTACATAACCAATGCAAGATCCAGCAATGGGGTCCTAAAGCCTGGAGATAAGTGCCAGTCTGAATGGCAGGTTGATCTTTTTGATTGTTTCAAGGAGCCATGTTTGAGTGAGTCCGCACAATCCCCTTTCTTATGCATAGCCAACCATATAAATGCAGGGGTGACTCTTGTCTATGTTTGCTTATTGCTCTAGAAACTACTAATGTGCTTAGTTTTGTTACTTCGATTCAAATCTTGCCTCCTGCTAATTTAGTTCCATTGATTAGTTCGATTTCTATATATATTTACTTTTTTATTTAACTTTTTTACTGCAGGCTTGAAGACCTGCATTTATCCCTGCGGTGTATTTTCAAGGATAGCCAATGTGGTGTCGAAAGGAAAGACATGTAAGCTTAGAAAAAACAAAAAAAATCTATAGAGCCGTGATCTAGGCGAACTAGTTTAGTACTTAATAACAGGTTTGACCGTAATGAACTCTCTTAATATTTCTCTTCTTTAATTCCTGCTAAAGCTCGCGAGCGTGCGATTAATGATCTAATGGCGTACTCCATTTTTTGTGGATGTTGCTGTTACACCTGCTGCATCAGGAAAAAAATTCGGCACCTTTTCGACATTGAGGTTGGTTTTCTTCTTTATGGAGGAGGGCTTTGAAGCTCTTCCTTGTGAAAGCTGTACATCCTTTTGGCTTGAGCTAAGAAGGTAGAAGCAGCTGACAAATATACTACTTGCAGGGAGGCTCATGTGATGACTTCTTAACTCATGTCATGTGTTGCTGTTGTGCAATGGTTCAAGAATGGCGAGAGCTTGAAGTCAGAGGCTTTGAAGGTAGATCCGCTGCAGTTTATCCTCTAAACATGATTGGGGCCATTGGTTACCGGAACTGCCAGATTTTAAAAGCCCAATTTCAATACTTCTTGGCAGAATTGAAAGTCTGTGTTTTAGATTTGATACAAACATTTTTCTAAAAAGTTTGTGCAAAAATAAAAATAAAAATAAAAATGATGCGTAGACGGGAAATTCTTTGCTACAGGAAGTTTGATGATGAATTCAATTCCTTGCAGGTTGCCCGGAGAGAAAGATGATTCCTCCGCCTTACCAGTATATGATGCCTTAACTATGAACAATATGCTGCTCTCTACAAGTTCTATTTACCATATACATGTAACTAAACACTTCAACAGAGGCATGGCGCTGGAACATTCTGCAGAGACAATGTGTTGGAGCCATATTGTACCTTTTAAGTTGACTTGAAAATGAGATACACGCTAAGTGAAACCTATTTCTAAATGAGCACAATGCGGTACATGCATCATATGCCAAGGCTCTGCATGAACAGCTATCTATCTGGAAGACCAGTGGAATTTCCATTATGGCTGAAAGCGGATGGTATTGAAACTAAAGGCAAAATCCATCGGGTGATTTATGTGAAAATTACAAGATCATTAACCAGTCAGGTATACAAAAAAAGTCGAGCTGTTAAAAGCAGTGTCAGATCTGTCAGAAAATTACTGGGTTAGAATTCAGAATCGAGCCAGTAAGTTCAATGCCGTGAGACAATGACATTAAACCAAATTGAACTCTGCTAAAAGGAAGAGCTGGCCTTGGCTGAAAATCAACATCCAGAGAGGAGCGACAAGAAGGAAAAAGTAGCATGCACGAAATATTCTCTTTCTTTTCAATAACAAACTATAATCCATCCTTGGTGGACCGTGTATCATCATTCTGTAGAGATAATAGACAACGAAACAGTTGTGATAACTCACTGCTTGCAGGTTTCTGCTCTGGTTCTTCCAGCTTTGCAGTGCACACACTATCATAGTCATGCTTCAGATGAGGAGCCACTATTTTTTCCTGGTGAAAGAAAAAAGAAACTAGAATCAGCATAGGAGAGTCGATCATGTAAATTAACGCCAAAGAGTTGATAATACCAGGACCTTAAACTCTTCAAAAGGGCAAAAATCGGAACCATTACAACCCTATCAACAAAACACAAAGTCAATATTTGAAAATTTTATAAAGGTTCATATCAAGAAAGTACAAAAAACATATGCATAATAAGCAAGTGAACTAACAACATATACCGTCATTGGAATGGGTTGTTCATTGTGGAGTACTTGGACAAAGTACTTGCTTGCAGAGTTTGCCGGGCAACTGTGCAGGACCAGCATGTTGTTACCAGCAAAAGGTGCCACAGTGCTACCCCGCCAATTTCTACTCTGAGGAGGTTTTGGAGGGAGCTCCAAAGGTTCTTCCCTTTGTATTTTCTGGAACTCTGAAGTTGGTAAAAATAATTAGTGATTCAGGATATAGCACACAGAGACAAAAATATAAACTATCTTTTATGGAGGTATTGCATCTTTAGCCAAGTCGATAGCCATATAAAAGAATCATAAAACAGTTGCATTCATGCAGGGGCACAAATGCTGAAGATGGAGTCTAAGAATGAAATCAACTCACCAGATCCTTCAAGAAAAAGTCCGAGGAGGCATGTAAATGGGACCACGGTCTCTGCATGTGCAAACCGTAGCCTTGCCTTCTCATAACTTCCAGGAGGATGCTTTTCTAATAGAATGAAAGCCCAATAAGAAGAAGTGTATGATTCTTACTAGATCAGGAAAAGGTTCATCAATATCATTTAACGATTATGCATGTCTATCTTCTTCTTCTTTTGGTGATTTACGAGGAATAATATCTTCTTCTTTTGGTGATTTACGAGGAATTGGGGTATCTGCAGGACATTGGGCCAGCACAACAAATCCTCCACCACCCAGGATTAGCGTGACAGATCCTAATTTGCATCAGTGGGCCAAGCCTTCTTAACTCGGTGTTGATGGTTGCTAAACTCAATGCTGAGCCTTAGCCAGCTAGTTTTAGATTTGTGCCAAATGCCAACCTCATTATAGCCAATCTAGAAATAAAGATTAAAAAATAAAAATCACCAGGTTCCTCCTCCTCTGCAACTTACTAACGCATATGAAAGTTCAAATATTCTTTGTTCGTCAATGAGACAATAATGTCACTTAAAGAAAGGGATGCAGTTCATTGAAGGCATAAAACAAGCATACAGTCTCTAACATTTGACAACTTGACTTACCTTCATTTGCTTTAATGGCTTGCTCCATGGACTGAACAACATCTTCAAGCAATGGCACTCCCATTCGATAATTTATTGAATTACCATAACCCTTCAATATAAACATCTCCAGATCATCTGCCCACTCCAGCAAAGCAACCTAAGTATGTGCTTAGGTAAGCTGATCAATATCAATAAATCACAAAAGAGAGAGTACCTTTTTAATTTGCATTAATGAATTATCATTGCAGACTTTCTGTATAAAAACACTAGTATCATATAATTGCAAATGCACATTTTCTTAATTTACTCAACCATGTATTTAACTTTCTTGTTAATCCAAACATAAGCATTTTATTTTGTCATTTCTTTTAGCCCATGAACCTGAATAAAAAAATAAAAAAACAAAGACGAAAGTATTCAAGTGATCAAATTAGACAGACTTCACTACGTTATTGACTTCCACAAAAGTGAACAGGGAATAATTATTAAGGAAGACTGAAATTTTCTATAAAAATCAAGTTGGAAATTTTGATCAGCAGGCTGATTTATCATCAGCATTAGCCTATAGAGAAACATAAATAAAACCTTAAATCACACAGCATCAGCATTCAAATTACCTCGGAAGGGCTGAAAAGACCACAAGCTTGATCAGTTATATCCAGGACAGATGCTTCCTGACAAATTGAAAATCAAAGGGCACATTGCATTGTAAGTATGTAAATTAAATATACAAAAATAGATAAAATCAGGAATCATAACGGAATGAAATTTGTATCATAATGAACAGTCATGGAGACAGGGTTGTCACCTGTTTACACAGAGACCACAACGTAGCAGTATCCTGTCTAGTGAATTTGAGCCCGTAGCGGCTCACTAATGCAGACGTGATTTCATCTAGTACAGGTTCCTTTAGCTTATCAACAGCAGGCTCCTGCCTCTTCTTAAAATCCTGGATGCATATATGTGATATGAGAGGAAATTGACCGTCTCATAACAACTCTGGGCAGAGAACATGAGCTAACATGCAAATCCACAACTTTTATGCTTCCACTAATTTCAATAAATTTCATGTCTTCCACCTAGTATTCAAATCTACAAATTCCATCTAAAAACCGTTTACAAAGAAAATCAACTTTTACATTAATTAAGCTATCATGGTATTGGGCAGATAAAAAGGGAAGACAGTAAATAACCACACAAATTGTATATTGATTTACAATGTACAAGCTGTAAGGTTTGAATCCAGATGTAAAACTTCAACATAAAAAAGTTAAACTGGACAGTACCTTATAGTTTCCACAACAATCATGAAACCTCAGTATAATGTCACTCGCAGGGATTTCACTTGTAACAGCAAAAGCTCGATGTTGTGCAGGTCCTAGACCTCCCTTCTCACTTAAAAGCCCCATGCCAAATGCCACAGCACTAGCTGATGCGCGAGGAACCTAGCACATTGGAGAGAAAAAAGAAGGAAGTAAGTGAAATCTACTGAAAGAAAATAGTAAAAGACTACGGAACAGAACCGGTATAAAGTGGGATTTGATTGGGTTAGACATTTTCATTGTAGAGCATTTAGAACAGAGCTCACCTGTGTAGCCTTTATAGGATAAACATCTGGGTGGTATTCCTCATCAAATAATTCTGAAAATCTCTCTCTAATCCTGATTCCAAGATTGTACAATTCTTCTTCTCCTTTCTTGATCAATTCTCCACCTTTTAATTTCTCTCTCCAAGGAGATTTCCATCCCCGCAACCATGACGGAACTTTCTCCAAAGACAAATTTTGTTCTTCAGCTTCTCTTATAAGTTCCCCCAAGTGAGAAGCCAACTCGTCTAACTCTCTCATCCGTTTTTTGTTAGGAGAACGAGTTCCATGTCTTGCCTAGGAAGTAACAAGTGAAAAAAGTGAAATTCAATTTGGCTTTATATGGTAAAAAACATGGTAATAACTTTTATCAGAGCAACAAATCACTTCAGGCAGTAGAAGAAATCAGCATATAAACCCAGCAAATTAAAATGCTGAATCAGAAAAGAAGCCTCCAAAGTAAATTTAAAACATAAAATATCCAAGCAAAGGATCATTCCATCATAAAAATAGTACTAAGAAATAAATAAAGTAACTCCTGGTATAATCCCTTAAAAAAAAAGGAAAAAGTCATGTTGGTTTAAGCAAATTCTGCAAGTGATGCCCACCCTGGGAATGCATGGCTCATTCCAACAGTTTCATTTAACAACCAAATTACTCTAAATGATAACTTGCATGTTGAAGTTCTACGAATTTCTATAACTCAGAAACTACAAGTAGTTCTTTTCCCTGATATATTTGATGTAGTAGAAAGTCCCTGATTTCAAGGGCACAATAACATTCTGTTGACAGCAGAAAGTTTTTATTCGTAAAGAAAAAGATGATTCATGTAATTCCACGAGCGTCGATGCTTTTTTTAAAAACCCTGAGTCTGAGTCCGGCAAGAATCAACTACTGGGACAGATGAGAAATGCAAATTGCTCCATGACAACAAGTGCAAAACCATGCCGAAAAACTAGAAATTGAATCATACTAAAAAATTAAAACCAAACATCTTTCGTGATCAGTCAGCTACTTGCCAAAATCTCGGATCTTAATCTAGTTTCATAGAAAACTTGCTACATTAACAGGTAATTCAAATTTAAGCACAACATTTTAGTATTATACGCAGAAAGAGCTGCTGTATTTACTTTTAAATTGCGCACATCCATAGCGATGACCCGGACTTTCAATAGTCAAAACATTAAACATGAACAGGAAGAAAACAACAATCTAAAAATTTGCAACAGAGAAGATTACCACAAGGTTTACGTGGATAGGAGTGCATCCATTAGGAATGTTATTGGCAGCTACAGCTGAAGTGTTAGCGATATCCTTCGCTACATCGTACCTGCACACAATTTATCAATCAATTAAATAATTACACATAGCTAACTACTAGTTTGCTTGTTTTCGAGCATGAATCTCGTTATTCAACAGAAAAAATCAATTGGATTACCTAGAAAGTAAAAGACGGGATAAAAATGGTAGAAAAAAGAGAGAGACCTCGTTACAGTGCAGAGGTGGCGACGGACATCGAAACCTTGATCAGCATTTAATTGCGACGATATCGATAACAACAGAAGCTTCAAGATAGCAAACATTGCTTGCTTCTATTGTTTTTCTCTTCTCTTTCTGTTTCTAGAGTGGAAAAGGGAGAATGTACGAATGGATATTCTTTGCACGGAAATATGAAGCGGATGTCTCCACGGTTTCCAGGGCGAGAAAGAAAGAGCTCTAGCGCATGCTCGAATAAGTCGCTTGATCGTTTCAGATTGTTTACATTTTCTTTGACTTTTTGCTGTGACATAACTGACCCAGTAGAAGGGTAACACGTGGTTTTCTTTGACCGTTCTACTCTTTTTAATGTTGATTAGACCCTTCCATGCTACAATGTCATGAACGTGGTCCATCCATGCCACCACTGAGTTAACAGTCGGTCAATAAAATCGATTCAACAAGTTATCCAGGCATGTTTGTTTATAATTAATATGACGAAAAATTGAAGTAAAATATTGTGTTCTTCTTGTAAAATATTGTTGGATTAAAATATTATTTTTAGGGCCACAAGTTGGATTAAAGAAACAAGAAGTGCCCCCTTCGGGGTATTCTCAATTGTTTTTTACGTGCTGTTCTAACGGGAACAACATCATCAGATTAGTTTAATGATTCACTTGTAATCCCCATCACTTAGAACAGCACGTAAGAAACAATTAGGAAAAATGAAGTGGTTCTTGAACACTTTGTTGGTGGGTAGAAGTCTGTTAGTTGGATAAAATCTCCTCAGAGATCTTTGCTCAATTTAGGTTAACCTTTCGCACCTTGAAGCAGTTTCGGTAACCGTTCCTCTCCAATTGTGCCAAACAAATGTTTGGAAGGGTTAATTCTATTTAAAAATTTATTCCCTGTGTATTTATTTATTTCTCAGGCTATTTTATTTAATATATGATAATTCTCTACACGCAATCCACAGTTGAGAATGGGAAAACTTGACGTTTTCTGTTACTTAGGAAAAGAAATGTATATTTATCTATATGGTGAAAATTTAAGAAATTAACTTCTAGAATCCACATCAATCAAAGTCAGCTCGCAGCGATGGCTGGTCTAGACTTGTTTCCACGCCACCATCATCAATGTAAACTATATGTCAGCTCGTCAAAGTTCAGTTTAGGCCCAAGTACTTGGATCGAGTCCAATCACTGGGCTTCATTCTCGCGTCATCATTGTATATCGGAAGACAAACGCGGCAGGCCCAAACAACTCACATGAAACACAGAAATATCGATCCCTAACTAGTACCAGTAGGAATGGAAATTCGATTTCCATTATGCCTCGACTTTTCCTACTGGCAAGCAATTAGCGTGGGCATTTTTGAGAGAGAGAGTGTTCTTTATGCCTCTGGCAATCAACTTTCTTGACGGTCCAATCCAATGAATGTATTTGCCTAATGACAAGCACTCTAAAATGGGGTCACATCCGAAAACACAAAAAGAGCACGTCTTTATATTTGGGGGCTCATTGGGACACGGCTAACCTCTTCTTTGCCCCGTGGGGACGGTTGATTAATAGAAAACACCCTTACCCCCTAATTGACAGCGCGAAAGAAGATCGACGGTTGATTTTAGATGATTAATACGCAACCTTACCCCCCTAATTGACAGTGATAGAAGATCCTGTACGTGTTGATAAGTACTTATCGGCAAATTGACGGGCCAGTCGTCATGCAGCAAAACAGACCACCGCCCAAACAACAGCTGCCAGGCTTTCCATCCTCTTCAGCGGCTGAAGAGAGACAAATCGAGAATACTTGAGAATCATATCATGGTCCAGGTACACGGGACCACCACGAATGTCAATCATCGGACCATGAGTACAGCGCCTGGTGGTCCATTACCATTTCCCTCGTCACTTGTTTTTCATTTTTCGTTGTGGTTGCCATTGCATAATAAGGAACAAAAAAATAAGACTGAATGGGGACAACCATATATTTTTAACTACTTTCCAAGCTTTTGAAACGATGGCTAAACTCCTGTTCAATCCTGGACAACAAAGCATCTTTGCTAACCAACCACACCCCCAAAATCCCTTAGCAAAAACTAAATGATTGACACAAAAAGATAGGCACAGGACGCCCTCCTAAATGGTACTTCAAGCAAGGTAGAAAACAAGATGGCTTCATGATTATGCAGCTACTTCTTCCCCGTTGAGTAGCATCTGGTCGAAGTGCCACACTCCTGATAATTCAAAGAAAGAACAACAGTTTAGAGGATGAGCAAATGCGCAGTGCAAATTCATAAATAAATAAAGGGAAGGGAGAACTTTGGACAAGATAAGAGGTCTTTACCATGTCCTTTTCCCACTCTTCGCAGCTGAGCAACATATTCTGAGATCTTTTTGATAGCATCCACCTACAACGTAAACAATTTGAAAGGTCAAAATCAAAATTCAGCTGACCTGCCGTAACAGTGAAAAATAAATGGTGGTGGAAGTAGGGCCAACATGAAAACTGTACGTACCTGCTCAGCTAAAAACTCACTTTCAACGAAATCTGTCAACTGCACATCTTTGTTCTTCTCGGCCACCTGTTGAACAAAACTCAACTCAATTTCTGCGTACTTGGCAAACAAAACTAGAAAAACTGAAAAGATTTTGTTATCCAAAAGGCTATGCAACTTGCAGCATGACCCCGCATTTCGTCAGTCACTGCTGAGTGCAAACAGGAATTTACCATGCAATGAAGTACATTAATTCCTAAATTGAGGGATAGAAATGTCTTACACTATGCAAGTTTAGGAGCTTTTCATTCGTTAGTTTTTCCAAAGACAAGGCAAGCTCCATTGCTGAACCAAGAAAAACAACCACAATCAGGTTAAATTAAAGACAAAACCAAGTACTTCATAACTTAACAAAACAGACACCAATGCAACGCAGCACGAAGTATTGTCATTTGCTCGTTAGTTCTTGTAAACTATGGATGCATTCAAATTCTTTTAAGTTCAACACACATCACAAGCATAAGAAAACAGAGATGAAGATTTGTATTTGAGAAGCTGCTTGTTTCCATTCACCTCGAATTCATTAAGTATAAGAAATGACAAAAAGAAGGATAACCATGCCCTGATTGAGAAACTCAGAATACACCTGGTAAAATCAATCACATTCCAATACCTCAACAGCATGAGTTTACCCCTGATCAGTTCAGTATATAAGGACACGGTCAATGAACTAATTTCAGGATTAAAGCAGAGAAAAACATTAAAAAGCACAGGCCGAGGACTACACACACACACACACGTATTCATTTTGCTTAACTCCTCATTGTCAACATATAAACACCTATCAAAACTCACCATACAGTGCATCTCCCTTCTCCGCATGATCAAACTCAGAGAGGGGCATCAAAATAGACTGCAGCTTCACTTTTCCACCCCGTTTATTCTATGAGATTAAACAACAATGACCGAGGATTCAATTACATTATGAACATAATAAAGAACTCCTAACGCTAAATTGAAAAGGAAAAACACAATAAATAGCTATATCAAATTATGAAGTTAATCACCTGGTATTCCATCAATTTCTCAGCATGCTCTCTTTCTTCGATACTTGATTCCTTGAAAAACCTATTAGAAATAAAAAATGTCATGAATCAGATTTAACAACATATAACAACAGAGAGAGCTAACAACATAAAACAAAACAGAGAGCTCATAAAAAACAGAGCATTTCCACAAGAATTTACTTAGCAAGGCCCTTGAGCGCCACATTATCTCTATCGAAGTAGGCAAACATCGCATGGTACACGTACGAGACATTGTACTCCACACTGCCATTCCAAAACGACATAATTTATGATTAGAAAACAGATTACTAAAGCGATATACTTCACCAGAAAAACTCAAACTAAACATAGATGAACACAAAGAACCACGAAACATAGATCTAAATATGGAAAACACCAACGCAGGATCAGAGTTAAACATCTATTAAAAGAACATGTAACAAGAAAGGTAAATATAGAATCTTTAATCCAGTTTCAGTATAAAGAAATCATCTTCTATATCAATTAAAGCAAATCAATCATTTCTTGACGATAAAAGAATGGTCAATCAACAAGAAACTGAAAAAGAAAACATCTCACTTGATCTGTTCATTGATGGCGGCTTCACTCTCATCGGTAAATTTCTGCCTGGCAAGAGAAACTTGTGGCACATTAGGCACGAGATTCAGTTCTTTCTTAACCTCCTCAAAAGGCTCAAAGACGACACCAGTTAAAGGTCTATTATTAGCCCCCTTGGAGGCACAAACAACGAATCCAGACCCAGTTTTTGAGCGAAGAAATGAAGGAGAAACAGAAAGATTTTTGTTAGACAGAGAAGAAACAGATGGAAACAGAGAACCCAGATTATCCCCTGTCGCGTTCAATAGAGAAAAGGCTGGTGCTGCCTTCAGTAACATGATTTTTTTTTTTACTGGACAAGGACGAAATAACCGGTACTGAAATTTCTAATGAAGAGGAAGGAGAATTGAAAGAGAGATTGGTGTGGCGTGTGTTGTGTGTGGTGAGGGAGGGAGCATATAATGTAGAGGAGGAGAGGTACTGACCTTTGGATTGAGGGACAGGTGGACGGTGAAGAGAGTAAGGCGGAGTGGAGCGCGTGTCAGGCTTGTGGCACGAACTGGAAAGGAGTATGGTAGTCACATGTGAGTCCATTTAAAAGCAGAATCTGGAATATATCGTCCCAAAAAATAAAGGTGTAAACTTGAAGTTGGCAAAAAAGTTAAGAGTGGATGAACTCGTTCCCAATGTTGGGTTTTGTCAAGAGCGTTACTGTGCTCTGTATAGCTACCATTTGCGAGTTGCCTCACATGGAGCTTGGTAGATGAAGACTTGAAATACTAGAGTGAATTTCAGTTCATAATTGTTAGGTCTTTTGTATTGAAGGAAGGAAAGAGATAGTGGGGGGTAATGGTTACATTTTGGCTGGATATCAACAGGGGGAGGGAGGTCGACGTGTATTAGCATTTAGGATTGTTTGATGATGTGATTGGAATTACTTTTAAAAATATAATTTATTTATAAATATATTAAAAAATATTTTTTTTATTTTTTAAAAATTATTTTTAATATTAACACATCAAAATAATTTAAAAATATCAAAAATATATAATTTTAAATAAAAAATAATTTTAAAAAATATGAATTATACTGCGTTGCTATACATAAAAAAATTATTTATTTACTAATATATTTTTAAACCTAAACATCCTTTTAATCGCTACCTGAAATTGGAGATTTCTTTCCTAGAATTGCGGCAAGGGTTTTTTTTTTTTGGGTTGAAGATAAATAGTGGGGTTTGCTAGAAGCCCAATGTGAGAAGGGACA